AAGATTTAACCACAAACCTCCACAGAGTCTGATGGATGAGAAGTGATCGCTCACCCCTCGGACAGGCAGGGCCCAAAAGCACTGAGGTGACGCAGTTTCGCTTTACCTGCTTTTGTTCTTTAGGCTTTAATAAGTGTCACTTTAGGCTTCTTTGGTACTAACCTCTCTTGAAATAGGACTGTGAGCAGCCATTTTCATTGGTGCTTAGGCCAGGTCAGAATCTGCAGGTGTCAAAAGCCCTGTGCAGTGATAGTACTCACTCTCCTTAAACAAGTGCAAGAGATGGAGAGTCTGGGAGAACTAACATAAGAACTTGTCACAGTTCAGCAGCCTCCCTCCCAATTATTCCTCTTCGAATTACATCTAATACTCCTTCTATTTTCTGTACGGAACAGTACAGACCTCTGTGATTTTCCAAAGGAATTGAATAAGAAGTACCCTGCTGTCACTGGTTTAAGCTCTTGCCACCTAGAGCGGAATATAATGGGTAAGAATAAGCAAAATCATGTAAACATTCAGAATAAAGGGTTAAAGAGGGACTTTGGCTGCCTTATTCAAGACCAATATGGCACTAGTGTGTATCCTAATGTATTCTTTACCTTATCACCAGATTTCTAGCCATTTCACACATTTCAGGGGAAAAATATTCTTTGATGATTTTTTATGTCCTAGGGGTTTTTTGGTACCCTGTTGCCAGAAAAAAAAGTCAAACAAATAAAAGCAAGCAAGCAAACAAACAAACAAACAAACCCAAACAGACATCACAAGCAGTGGTGCAGGCTTCAGAAGAGAGAGAAAATTGACTCATAAAAATTTTCTTGTGTAGCTTGTCTGGGATGAAAGATTTAATTTTAAAGTCTGCTAACTTGCAGTTTATCCAATGTTTGCTGCCTTTTGATTCTGTAGTCCCTTGTCTTTCAAAGCAGACTACCTACTTGTAGTAAGAAGAACTATTGAATCCAGAGCCTACAGACTTAGTTGGAGATTGGGAAGGATGAACTGGTATTCCTGTATTTCTGAGCACTGTAGTTCTGTAGCTGTAGGTCACAGAAGAGGCCATCTCTTTCTCTGAGGTTGCTGCTGTTTGTTGGCAGGTGCTGGGGTCTTTGTCTGTGAGAAATGCAATAGGAACCTCACAAAATTCAACAAGGGTAGATACCAAGTCTGCACTTGAGATGAACTAATCCCTTGCGCTGATCCAGGCCAAGGTCTGCCTGACTGGGAAGCAGCCCTCCTGGAAAGGCACAGAAGATGCTGGTAAACGGTGGGCTGAAAATGAGAACCAGGGTGTCTTCTGTCATCAAGGAAGGTCAATGGCACCCTGGGCTGTATTAACAAGGACAAAAGCCATGAGATTCTATCCCTTTTTACTTTCCACTATGTTTATCCACATATACAGAACTGTATGCAGTTTTAGGCCCCCAGTACAACTGAAACATGGATAATCTGCAGCAAGTTCAGTGGAGGGCCACCAAGACAGACAGAGCGGGATCTCTTGCCTAATGAGGAGGCTGGGAAGCTGGGCTGGTTCAGACCAGAGAAGTGGTGGCTTCAGGGAGCTTGCCAGGGCCTACTGAAAAGAAGACCATGCTCCTTACAGTCACACGTACTGAGAGGATGAGAGGCAATAACTTGAAAAAAGAGACAGACTTCATGTAAAGAACAATTTCACTGTGAGGACACTCCAGCAGTGGACTAAGAGGGGATTTGTGGTCTTCATCCTTGGAGATTTCCAAGACCAGACTGGATAAACTCTGGAGCAACATGCTCTGACATTCAAGCATGCCCTGCTTTGAGCAGGAGGTCGGATGAGAGGCCTCCTGCTATCCCTTCCAATCTCAGTCATTCTGTGAGTATGTGATTATTACCCAGCAGAGGAGCTACTTGATGCTGGAGTCATTTCACTGGTCGGTAAAAGTAGCATACTTCCCATCCTGCACCCAAAAGACATATCTAAATGGAATTTAAAAATAAGAAAAACACAAAAAGCGAGGAAAAAATCCTGACTTAATCAGTGTATAGCTTTGAAGTTAGTTTGTTGAAGACAGCATCCACCTTCACTTGAAGATAATGGACAAAATAGAGTACAACTGTCATCTGGATCAGGTTAAACTGAGGCAGAATTGTTGCCCTGTCATGACCTTCTATGTGAACAACATCAGCACCACTATGTTTCAGCTCCCACCACATGGTGCCTCCAAAGAGAAGAGAGAAGCAGTGCTTTGTAGCTGCCACCTGCGAATCTCTAATTATTGGCAGGTACTTTGCAATGGAGTACTAGAACAGGATAATTGCTGGAGGTAGAATTGGCAAGAGCAGTATATGGGAGACATGTTCAATTGCACATGAGTATGGTAGGTGAACTATAAAAAAAGCAAGCCTGCCATTATCTGTTGAACAGCTGGCAACTCTGGGTCTTCCATTTTGTTTACGGTAGAATGGACAAAAGGCTTGTAGTGTCAGCAGTAAAGAGCCTAGGGACTGTATGCCTTGTAAAGGTATGCTGGATGCCTTTATGAGCCATAGCTCAAGCTTTTGTGACAACAACAGTGAGGCATTACAAGTCTATTTGCAAGATTAGGTCTAAATGTCATCCCCAGAGTGCAGTATAAAAACTAATGAATTTTTTTATTCTTTATCATTGAGATCAACATTCTCCGTAAGAATTTGCATTTCTATATGACCCTTGTGTAAGCCAGCTTGCATGGGAGGGGGATCAATTTTGAGATTCATCAGTAGTGTTGTCCATCCTACTCAAATATTCCATTTACACTAAATCTTCCATGTATAACTCTGCAGCCAGCCTTAGAAGGAAAACAAGTACTTGTACGAGAAACACAACTACTACTTTTCGTTGCACAGTGTTTTACTATGTATTTGTGTCTTACAACTGTTCTGCCTCACAGATTCCTCAATATCTACCTTGAGAAGTGAGTTTACACTGCAGTCTTCCACTCATTGGGAGCACTAGCTGGGCTTTTCAACCAGATATTTTAACAGACTTTGGCTTCAAGTCACAGGCATCTTTATACCTCAGCACTTTTTTTGGTTTCCAACAGGTATGTTCATCAGTTTGAACACTCAAAATTATTACTTGAGAATGTTATTAGTTGGGCAGAGGTGCAAGCACCTATAGATTGAGGACATAATCCACCAGGACATGAAAGTAAGAGAGAGATTGAAAAAGTACTATAAGGATTAAAAACATCTTGCCATGTCATCAAATCCAAGATTCAGAGCCTTCCCCCCAAAAAAACATTGCTAGACATTCGAGATTCAAATCTCACTCTTAGACCTTCTCCATGCTCTTGTTTTAGCAGTGAGGATATTCCTTATAGAAGGATGTTATGAAAGGAAAGGATGCTCTCCTCTAGCTTGCCTTCTCATATCAAGAATGTCTGATACGGAATTGGGAGAAGATGGGCATGCCAAATGGGGGGATGCTGGAACCATTCTGCGAAAAGAAGGAGCCAGGAGAGAAGATGCAGTGCAGCTGTGCGACCTAAACAGCAGGTTGCAGTCATGAAGGAACATTTCCTTCATTCTAGATTCATCATGCATTCATTTCCAGAAAATTGAGCCTTTATCTAAAAAGTCCACTTCTAATATTGTTAGTCTTTTGTGTCACTGTTGTCTCAAGTAGTGCAATTACCTACCAAAGCAGCAAACTTCTCCTGTGCTACTGGGAAAAGCAAACTTTTCCTCATCCCATTAATACAGCACATGAAGTGAAAACCTTTTTATAAATTCCATTTAGGGTCTTATACTAGCCAAATTTACAGATGTTTCACAAAGGTATGCAGAAAGTCCTGACCCACCAGTTTTTGTGGGTATTTTCTATTGACTACGTATTTTCTGACTTGAATTTGCTTTGGATACAGAGATGATCCTTTTAGAGGAAGTCAGAAATGTCTACAGGTCTTCCATCCATTTCTGTATAAAGACTCAGAGAAAAGTCAGCCTAAACAGAGTGTCCAAATCTGACAGCTTTCCTGATTAACTCATATTATCCAACATGCTGCATTTTGCGAGGGGGAAAAATTCTCAAAGATGGGAGAGAGAAAAACTGAAACAAACAAAAAAATCACACTTTGAAATCCATCCTTTTGGCAGCTGTCCCTTTCTCGTTTTGGCAGACAGAGAATTGCTGGCAGGACTGGTGAGGGAAGGGTAAAAGACAAATGGTTCATGATGAATCCTTTAACTAAGCTGATATTTCAACACAGTGCCTGCCAGCATTTTTCTTTGGCATATGCTTTATAGAACATACATGACAAGCACTTCAGCAATGTTAATATATTGGCATTACCTGGTTTATTTTTCATCTCCCTCTGAATCAGACCCCAGACTTTCAGGAGACTATCACATAGAAGTCCTCTTTTTTCCCCTAGCATTTATTTCTCTGTGTGTAAAAATGAAACTAAAACTATGCTATCATGATTTAAAAAATACAACAAACTAGCCTTTTAAAAATAGTATATTAATTATCACTATACTATCTTTTGGAATAATGTATTACCAGCTTTCAGGAATAAGGTGTATCAAACAGTTCTGGTCTTTGGGTGAATCACTTCCAGTAAAATAAAATTAAATAAGATAATTAATTTTTTAGAATCTAAAATAAAAATATAGATTTGAAGCTAATTATTGGGTTTTATTATGCTTTTTGTACTGAGGAAAACAAAATATCTCAAACTCTGCGAGGAAAAAGAAAAACAAACAAAAAATCAATCTGGAAACTTTATTTGATTTTCATTACAGTTAATGGCAAAATTTGCATTGCCTTGCACTACACACTACATACATGGAAATTCACTAAATCTGTAAATTTGAATTAAAAAAATAACATAGCTACTCCAATGTATTGAAGAAGAGAATTAGATTAATTTTTTTGTTCATTCATTCATTCATTTCTTCTTTTTTTATTTATGTTTTCATTCTTGCTTGCTAATTACTTAATTAATTATCTTTTTAACAAATTTCCCTTTGTTTTCCTAAAGTTCCCACAGGTGGCATTCCCCACATTTACCTCTTTTGCAGAAGACACTGCAGTTTCAAGGAGCCAGCCCATGAGGACTTACCATTCACTAAATATTGTGTCTGCATGATGAAGTACGTATGAACGCAGTTGATGGTCAAGAAGATTTTTTCTGACATTTTTAAATTAAGTTGTTAATGCTTAGTTGTATAAATTCCTTATAAATGTATCTTGCTCCAATATAGCATGACACTGTAAAAATCACTGGTGAGGTAGTAAGTGGAGGAAATGCTGTAAGATACATGCAATACAGTGTACTATTTTCTGGTCAGAATTTAATTAGTTCTCCTCCTTTCTAACAGCCTACCTTCATTTCTCACCCCTGCTAACAGAAGATTAAAAATGTAAAAGAAATATTGCAAACTTTACCCTCTGAAATACTATAATGAATTCAGGCTTTATTGCAGGAAATATCGTTTGTTTGTAAGAAGAGACAAAAAAAAATTATAGGTTTGGATTTTTTTTCCTTATTTGAATTGATTCTAATGTTAGGAATTATTAATAGAAGGAAACTGAAATGTGAGTACCTAAAAAGGCGATACGGAAGGACTCAACAAGCTATGGAAAGCATGAATAACAAACCATATATTTTTCCTGCCGTGACAGGGCACTGCATAAAAACACCGGGGGATGGATGCAAACAATGTGCTGGTGAGAGTGACAATAAAACAGAGATGACAGCATAAAGAGAGAATGATGAATGTGTTAACACAGGTAAGAGAGTTGGATAAAAGATCACGGAATAGTAGAAAATTCACTCTAAGCAGATCTTGAATAGTCTAACAGGAAATAGTGTTATTGTTAGATGTGGATTTGATAGAGAATGTGGTGACAACAGAGAGCGAGAAAATCTTTGAGTTTATATGGAGAGATTTATATTTATGCTTCTGGGTACACATTTATAGATATTTATACTAAATATATATTTTGATATCCCTGCAATAAATTTCTATAACCATATGATAAACTGTATTTATTATAGTTAACACCCTTTGCCTGCCTTACCTGTGCTACTTTCCATTTTCTTTTCAGCTGGTGATTTCTCTAAGTAGCTCAGAACTGCTGTCAGAATTGTTGAAACCTGCCAGAATTTTTTTTCTTCTTTTCTTCCCAAACACCTCCAGAGACTGAGAATTCTCCTCCTCTGCTGCATTCTGCTTTGTATCTATCTTGAATTACTCTATTTTGTATTAGTTTAGATTTAAAGGTCCAATTTCTCTTATCTATCAAGGATGAGAAAAACAGAGGAATTGAGGCTGTTATTATATGAAAAACTGGCATTAATGTAACAGTCTGATTTATTAAAAATGGTGTTCCTAAACAGTTGAAAGATGCTAGTCTATAAAAGAAAGTTACAATTTTTTTTGTTTAAATCTTGATTTTCATTCAAAAGATTAATAACAATAAATCTATTGAAGTTACATAGTTTTTAATAATGGCTACCTGCCCAGGATTAGTCTCTAAAACTGTTGTTTTTCAACAGTTGAACCAGCAAAGATGAAAACCAATTGACTATAGTAGGTTTTATATTGGGCCCTTAGATGTAAACAGGTCTACGTAATTTTATTCTATTGCTTGTTAGCACTCTCATGTTTCACCTCTTATGGTTGCTCAATGAGTGGTTCTTTTAAAAACCTTTCTCTTTATGTCATTATTTTCCACGGAGTAATATTAGAGATGTAGAGATCCCTGATTGCCTTTTTCAAAATACATGTCATGTACTTGAAGTATTTGTTTGATATTGAATGGAACACAGCAGCACTACTTAGAAATCCTGGAGAAGAACTGAAGGACACCAATTTCTTCTGATGCTATAAGTAGCTTTTAGAGACATTACTCAAAGAGGAAGAAAAAATTACCAAACTAAACCCTATGGCAGATGCCTACGCACAAATTAGGCAAAACTTGCTGTGACAGTTTCAGGATTGCTGAATGATTTTCAGGGTTGTAGAGTTATGTTTTATGTTTTCCCTCACAAACAACATTTTTAATATTTTGGGTCAAAGTGTCACCGGTCAGTGGCATTTGTTTGTTAGCAGTGATTCAGTAGACAAACTCGGCTTGATGAGTCATTAGTGAGGGATATCGTATTTACACAAAATCGCTTGGCTGAAACCATCAGTCCGAGAGATTAAAACTAGGCATTAATCACCTGTAAGGCTAAGCATGAGCCTGAAAAATAGCCTGAAAAACACCAGAATTTGTGTATTACAGCATGAATGGAGGTTTCGGAATACTAGTCATAAAGGATTGCTCTACACAGGAAAATGTTTGTCTTGGAGACTTTTTTATTGACCTGTGATATGTTTTTGGTTTGAAAGACGTGTTAAACAAAGAAAGCTCCAGTCTTTCAAAACTCTCACAGCTCTATAAATAACTCCACACAAAATGTACAGTATGTATAAACAGCATGACAAAGATTTTCTGACAGGATTTTCTCTACGGTAAAAAAGTGAAGTCAAAACATCCCATTGAAGGCTGCTATTTTGAAGAATTCCTGAGAACACAAGTGCTTGCGAGCTGGCAAACTCTCCATGAGTGAGAGTGAGTACAAACAATGAACTTCTATGAGACTGTAACCATTCCATCAAGATCTAAATGCAGCTTGAATGGACCTTAGCCAAGAAGCGTCTGCTCAGCATTTAGTAAAGCTTCAGCTAAGGGAACCACAGAAAAAAATCCAAACTGTTCCTGCAGTAAAACTATCTGCCAGCAACATTTTTGAGAGTTCACCATCTGGGTCCTGCAGCTATCAATCAGACTCAATGTGTCACTCCAGCTGTCCTTCAAGGCTCCTCATGGTCAAGGTAGAGCAGTTTTGAGAAAATAAAACACAAAAACTGAGAGAGCACAAACAGCTGTTGAAAGCTTGAATAAGTCAGGGGGCAAAAAACTCGCAAATATTAAAAGACAGTTGCTTCATTACAGCATTGAGATTGACCACTTGCATGTCTGAAATTACCCATTTTCCATACTACATATTAATATTTTCTTTTAGCATTCTGTTTTAGTGGATTTGGGGTTGTTTTATAAATGCATGCACAAGTCCCTTTTACTTTTGTGGGAAATTAATCCGCAAAAAACAGGTCTTTAAGTTTATTTTCTACAGGTTAATGTGTAAGAGCTCTAGATTGGCTCTTACTGTCACTAGCAGTGGAGATTTTGACTGGAGGTAAACTCTGAAAGAGTCTGCCATTGTGAATCTCCCACCTGACTGAAAATTAAGGTCTTTAAAGTATGTGTGCATGGTTGGAAAGATTCCTTTGGAAATGGAAATAAGTAGTAGCTTGTACAGGAAATGAGACAGGAAAGTTGATATGTGGTAGGAATTTCAGAAGAGGTAGGAACAGTTATTGAATTGGCAGTTTAATATCTATAAGCAAACAAAAATAGAGGGAAGGCAGAACTAGAGAGGCAAGAAGCTGATGGCTGAAATAGCAAATCTAACATTCTGAGTTGAGTGTATTCAAATGTAGACAGTCAGAGATAGAAGCCAGAACCATAAGTAGGGCTTTGAAAATTTAGGGAGAAAAAAAGTTACTTGATTTAGTAAACTTGGGAAACCAGATAAAAATTTCAGCAACAGAAGTGGAAAGCTGAACAGGCAAGGAAATTAATGGCTTTCTGCTGCATTTTTCACACAGAATTACAGGGGAATAAAGCAGGTTTTCCGTCCAAATATGGTTGATTGCTTTTTCTATCTATGTTACCTTGCAAAAGACCTCCAATATTTTACACACTTCTAGGATGTTTCAAATGCCTGTGTGGTGAAGACACTTTTGTTTGATTTTTTGTTTGTTCGTTTTTAAATAGTTGGCTTTGCTTTATCAATGGTTTTAATAAAACATACGTATTGGCATCCAAGGTTTGTTTTAATGTACAATTTAGATGCAATCATCTCTGTATGATGGCTTTTCTTAATGTCCAACTATAAATAATCTTGGCCTGGAGCAGATAAAAAGTGTTCTGTAGAAATAAAAATAAAATCATGAGTATTATTTATTTTTTTAATTTTCCTTTTTAGTGTTTAGAGAGATTTATTGTACTACAATAATTCAATACTCTATTTTTACAAAGCTGAGCTGCAGATGGTAGAAACTGCGTGCAATAGTTCAACATTTTCTATTCCAGGTGTTTAAACAAATGTTTCTGTTTCAGGATTTTTCAGTAAAAGAATGGTACTCACATAATCACTGGACCATTTGGCTTGGAAGGGACCTCATGGTATCATTTAGTCTAACTCTGGTGCACAGGACTGTGCCATTTTTTTGCTGTTGTTCCACATATTGCAAAACAAACTAAGGGATGCCCAGATACTTCAGAAGATCTAGACTGAGGAGGAGAATGAGAAATGGCAAAAGAGAAATGTAGAAGAGAAGGATGAAAAAGTTCCCAGTGACCTGTTGTTGCAGGCAACTGCGTCTCCTAGGCTGTCATAGGATTTCTTTTGCAAACTTTCACAAAACCTTCAGAAGTCTGGGCACACTGAGGAGATCAGATTGTGTCTCATGCCAAATGAGATTCTTATAGGTGAGGTTTCCAGGTGTTTACCTGAGTTTGCAAGGAAAAGCTAAAGAGAAACACGAGAAGTTACAATTTTAATTACTTTTTTAGTAAAATAGAGTAAAACAACTGAAGTGCATATGGCTTTAAAAAATTAAATAAACCTTTGGATTTAAATACACTTCCAAAAGCGTTATAATCACTCAGACTTGTCAGAAAAAGAATATACTGCAAAAACTCACATGACATTCATGAAGCTGTGATTTAGTCTATCATCATTGTTAACTGGTTTCTCACCTGGGTACTTACTGGAGAGCAGAGGGATTCAATATCATTTAAAAGACAGTTTAGAACAGCAATAACTTTTGCACACACATCATTAAGCATTGGCCAAGAGAGTTTGTAATGTCCTTCCTACATCTGTGTATTTTTTAGAATAAAAGTGGAAAATGCTTTTGGCAAAAACAAGCAATAAAAAACCTCCCTCACTATATAGCAAATAAACAGAAAAGGCTCTTTACGTAAAGAGCTGTACAAGCACTTTACAGGAGGAGGCATACCTACTATTGCATTTCAACTAAGTAGCATAGCTTTTGCCCACTACAAGGCTTGCATGACTCGTGCTTTGACATCACAAATATTGACATCCTGATCAAAGTAATTGGACTGTATTCTGCCCAGTTGTGGCTGTTATCAGAGAGCAGAGCCTACTTCTCATTGATTCCTGCTGATTTCATGCCAATATGAAGGCATGACAGAAATAACGACAATGCAGCGTATTTTTATTTTGAAAAGAACAATCTGTCCGCTCTTGTTCCCTCTGGGATGGAATAGCAAGCAGTGCATCCAAAAATAGAGAAGATGACACTAAATGAATTTATGTGTTAAATAGCATTTTATTTTGTCAGATTCCTCCATAAGTCATTAACTATTGTGTTCTCCCTCACAGTTAATAACCTGGTCCCTGTAAAGAAATTACACTCCTATTCTGTGAAGGAAAATGAAGGCTGAGTTACACATATATTAAAAAATTGCCTGAAATATTTATTTTCCATATTCTATATAAGCCATACACAGCACTGACATTTGTCTTACACAAGAATGCAGAAGTTAGAAGAGTAGTTAAATCCCAAATCAGAGCTAATTCTTTAAAATACTACTCTTCCCTTTTAATTCTTTAAAATACTACTCTTTCCTTCTAGTTTAATTAAATAAGAGCTTCCTCACTCCCCTATGAGTCAAGATAATTAAAGAAAGACCTATATTTGTCAGTGAATCTCAGAAATGTTCTAATGAGTGGATAAGGAACATTTGTAATTAACATGCTAATTGCTTGTATGCAAATGGCCTGTTGTTCAAGTGGTTTAAAAAGTGCTTGAAAACAGTTTGTTTGCCTTCCCTCTTAAGCACACTAAACATTCCCACTTGCAGTCTTATTTACATTATTAATTTGCTTAGCAAATATTTTTTTAATAGCTAGTGCAAATAGAAGGAGTGGAAGCCTGATTTGGAGAGCTCTTGTGAAGAGTGCTATTTGCTTCAGTTCAAGCAGATGAGCAGACTGAAATGTGAGTTTTTCAGGCACATATTAGACCCTTGGCTTATCAAAGCCTCTTATCTGATTGGAAAAAAATCAAAGGTAAACTTCACAGCTCATGGAATTAAAAGACAAATGAGATGTCATAATTATCAAAGTGGCTAATTTAGAAAATTAAGCCATTCACTTAGGTGACATAATTGCTTGTCACAATCACTCTTTTTCTCATTAGCCCTCTCTTCAGCACTTACTATACTGTGGAACATTCTTTAGTCTTGGAAAATATTGCCTATACTGTAAGCCACT